ATGACAGTAATTGTTTTGGAGCAATAACTTCCATCATGCCAACAGCTACAGAATACAGATGTTCAGAAATACTCACTATACAACGTAATTACATAGTGATTTTCTGAGTAAAACCTCATTAACATGCAGGAGATCTGAACTGTAAATTACAGTTTAACACATATTAACATAGAAAACAGATATTTTAATTTATAATAATATTTCACAATTTTTACTGTAGTTTTGGTCAAATAAATGCAGCCTTGGTGAGCACAAGAGACGTATTTCAAAAACATAAAAAAATGTCAATTTTGACTTTAGAACTAGGCCTCTCACAGTACTCAATATATCGACTTATCGCGCAATATATGTACATGACCTCAATAATTTTTGGTGACGCAATATTTCGCCCATTATATTTACTTAAAAATGAACTTGCACTTTTTGTTAGAAAATGTTTATTTACTGTTTATTCAAGTTTTTTAAGGTATTTAATATTTTGATACTTAATTTCCATGATCTAAATATTCTTACAAATTAAAAGTTTGTTGTCATTTGGAAGTGTGTAGGCTTTCTTGCATTATTATGCTGTTACATTATGATTCAGTGGCATAAAATGGTCTTTAAAATGACAATAATATCGCTCATCGCAATTATTTCTGGGGCAATATATCGCACAACAAAAAGTTGTTATCGTGAAAGGCCTATTTAGAACCATAGTTTCTATAATATAATCTGTTCCAAAATCTAGTGCGCTCCCTACCTAGACAGCATTATAAGGGATCACAGACTTTTCTCACGGAGAAGGCAATCCCAGAATGCACTGCCATGCACGGTGAACAAGTCAAGAGAACGGTTCATTATAAATATATTGCATTTAATCCCAAAATGCAATATTCTAATTCAAAATGCAATTTTTTGCACTTTTTAATGTGCAAATCAGTCACTTGTGGCACCTATGAAGACAGCAGAAACATGTGAGTGTGGAGCAAGCGGTATTTCATCATAATCGCTTATAGGATTGTTTAGCTGAGCGATTAAGAGCGAAAAGAAAAGACGAAGACCAATAATTAGACAAAAGCAGCCACAAGAGCACTTGGAAGTGTTTCCCAGAAACAAGAAAAACAACAGAGCACAAGAAGAAATCTGTACAAAACACAACCGCAGAAACCAGAGTCTGGATGCGACTCAACAATCTCAAGCTCTCGAAAAGAAGGCCAAAGTCATCAAGACGCATAGCAAGAATAATGCAGAACTCAGCTTGGTGTGGCTGTTGGGCCTCAGAAAAGCAAAAGCCGTCGTAACGTCTTGATTATCTGTTTGCATGAAAGCGTTTCTGGTCAGAGAGCTGTTGAAATTCACAGTTCCAGCGCTGGATAAACGTTATGATGAAGAGCTGATGTTTGGTTTATGTGAATGGTTGCATGTGTGGAGGAAGACCTGCTTCTTTGAAGCCGATGAAGGAAGGGCAGTCCTTTGTTTATTGGACGCGTTTGAAAGGACTCTGATGGAAAGCAAGCGTGGAGAAAACCCAGTTCTTGAGCTTCCCCTCGGAATCTGGCGTCCATCCGGGACCCCAGCAGGAACACTGAATGATCTTTTCATGTTGTTTGGAAGGAAAAAAACAGTGCTTCTCTTAACTCTGTTCAGGGCATTTTCAAATGACTAGACAAAATATTTAATAAATGAATGTACCAAGTCTGTCCTGGAATAACACTTGACAAACATGCAGAGCAAATGTTTAGAGCTGCTCTACTGTATTGAACATCACGCTGCTCTTTTCCAGTAACTCAAACGTCTGTTTGTCAAAATCGGTGACTTGATATTGTCGTGTTTTGGAAATGAGCAAGCTGTCAGGGTGAACAGGATTTTATCTGTCTGCCGGGAAACCAAACACTACTGAGGAAACCCCGTCACTGGATTTGTCAAAGTTTGTGAGGATCATAGTATCAAGTATTTAAAAGTTACAGTATCAGAGCCCTGTATCGCATCTTCTAATGGTGGACAAAAATCTCCATTTGATGCTTTGACATAAAATAGCTCTAAAAGCAAACATAAAGGGATGGATGGATGGAGCAACAGAATGATGGATGGATATTGGATGCAGCAACAGAATGACGCATGGATGGATATTGGATGGAGCAACAGAATGGCGGATGGACGAATATTGGATGGAGCAACAGAATGACGGATGGACAGGTATTGGATGGAGCAACAGAATGACGGATGGATGGATATTGGATAAAGCAAAAGAATGACGCATGGACGGATATTGGATGGAGCAACAGAATGACGGATGGATGGGTATTGGATGGAGCAACAGAATGACGGATGGATGGGTATTGGATGGAGCAACAGAATGACGGATGGATGGATATTGCATAAAGCAACAGAATGACGGATGGATGGATATTGGATGGAGCAAAAGAATGACGGATGGATGGATATTGGATGGAGCAACAGAATGACGCATGGACGAATATTGGATGGAGCAACAGAATGACGGATGGACGGATATTGGATGGAACAACAGAATGACGGATGGATGGATATTGGCTAAAGCAACAGAATGACGGATGGGTGAATATTGTATAAAGCAACAGAATGACGGATGGATGGATATTGCATAAAGCAACAGAATGATGGATGGATGGATATTGGATGGAGCAACAGAATGACGCATGGACGAATATTGGATGGAGTAACAGAATGATGGATGGACGGATATTGGATGGAGCAACAGAATGACGGATGGATGGGTATTGGATAAAGCAAAAGAATGACGGATGGAAGGGTATTGGATGGAGCAACAGAATGACGGATGGATGAATATTGTATAAAGCAACAGAATGACGGATGGATGGATATTGGATGGAGCAACAGAATGACGGATGGACGGATATTGGATGGAGCAACAGAATGACGAATGGATGGATATTGGATAGAGCAACAGAATGACGGATGGACGGATATTGGATGGAGCAACAGAATGACGAATGGATGGATATTGGATAGAGCAACAGAATGACGGATGGACGGATATTGGATGGAGCAACAGAATGACGAATGGATGGATATTGGATAGAGCAACAGAATGACGGATGGACGGATATTGGATGGAGCAACAGAATGACGAATGGATGGATATTGGATAGAGCAACAGAATGACGGATGGACGGATATTGGATGGAGCAACAGAATGACGAATGGAAGGATATTGGATGGAGCAACAGAATGACGGATGGATGGATATTGGATAAAGCAAAAGAATGACGCATGGATGGATATTGGATGGAGCAACAGAATGACGGATGGACGGATATTGGATGGAGCAACAGAATGACGAATGGATGGATATTAGATGGAGCAACAGAATGACGGATGGATGAATATTGTATAAAGCAACAGAATGACGGATGGACGGATATTGGATGGAGCAAGAGAATGACGGATGGATGGATATTGGATGGAGCAACAGATTGACGGATGGACGGATATTGAATGGAGCAACAGAATGACGGATGGATGGGTATTGGATGGAGCAACAGATTGACGGATGGATGGGGATTGGATGGAGCAACAGAATGACGCATGGACGAATATTGGATGGACTAACAGAATGACGGATGGATGGATATTGGATGGAGCAAGAGAATGACGGATGGATGGATATTGGATAAAGCAAAAGAATGACGCATGGACGGATATTGGATGGAGCTAAAGGATGATGGATGGATGGAGCAACAGAATGATGCATGGACGAATATTGGATGGAGCAACAGAATGACGGATGGACGGATATTGGATGGAACAACAGAATGATGGATGGATGGATATTGGCTAAAGCAACAGAATGACGGATGAATGAATATTGTATAAAGCAACAGAATGACGGATGGATGGATATTGGATGGAGCAAGAGAATGACGGATGGATGGAGCAACAGAATGACGGATGGATGGGTATTGGATGGAGCAACAGAATGACGGATGGATGGATATTGGATGGAGCAACAGAATGACGGATGGATGGAAATTGGATGGAGCAACAGATTGACGCATGGACGGATATTGGATGGAGCAAGAGAATGACGCATGTACGGATATTGGATGGAGCAACACAATGACGCATGGACGGATATTGGATGGAGCAACAGAATGACGGATGGAAGAGAACGGCTCTATTATTTCCAACAGAGAATGATGTTGTTGTTTTTTAAAGCTGACAAATAAAAATCATATATGGTTTTGAGAAATCCTATAAATCTACTAGTTTCATATATGACATGACATGTGGCCAAGTATGGTGACCCATATTCGGAATTAGTGCTCTTTGTGGATGGACACACACACAGCAGTGAACACACACACCGTGAACCCGGAGCAGTGGGCAGCCATTTTTGCTGCGGCGCCAGGGGAGCAGTTGGGGGTTTGCTCAAGGGCACCTCAGTCGTGGTATTGAAGGTGGAAGAGAGCGCTGTACATTCACTCCCCCCACCTGCAATCCCTACCGGTACGAGACTCGAACCCACAATCTTTGGGTTACAAATCCGACTCGCTAACCATTAGACCACGACTTCCCCTATATTTGGCATGTAAATGAATATATAGGGTTGAATGGTTGTTCATTTTACTAGTCGATTCGTAGGCAGAATAAGCTGTAATGTGCTTTATATTCATCATTTAGTGTGCTGATTATCAGCATGATGAGAACCTCCTAAACTAGTACTTAAAGCTCTTCATCTCTGCCTTTCAGCGACAGATTTTCACTGAAGTCACCGAATAAACTTTGATTCTCCCAGATTATTTTTGTATTATTTTGTATTATTTTTGAACAGAACAATAACAACAATGATTCATGCCTAGACTTGACTTCAAATCAGAAGGCAGTAGAATCAGGTCTCGATGTCTGTGAGGTCATGGGCATGAAGCAGGAATTACTACATGTCAACAGCACTTGTGTAACGCTGGTCCGCCTGTACATACACGTCCCAGAGCGAGAGACCGCTGTCATTACAAAGCTGGAAGGGCTTAACAAAGCCTACGGGGAACAGGAAACCAGCAGCAGACACAATGACATGAGATTAGTAATGAGTGAAGCCCCTAAACGTGACGTCGACACAACAGAAACCAGCCGTGCCCTTCCCAGCTTTCACAGGAACATGATGAAAGTCAGAGCCGAGCGGCTCAGGTGAACTTCCTCAGTATCTCAGATCACACTTCACAGAAGTTACATTGCCAGGTGTGACATCAGCACAGACCAAACAAACGCCGAGCTTTAGGGAGGAGACGCAAGTCAGACTCCTATGGCACCTGTTTGACAATCTCTGGACTTTAACACTCGGGATCTGAGACAGACTCTGTACTGTAGAAGAAGAGCTTAAAAAACAGGACAAAACTGCAAAGATCTCTTGGGTTACGGTAAGAGAAACTCTTCGTTTCGTCCTGAGCAACACTTCAGATCACTTCCACTATTTCACTTCCACCAGCATTATATGGCGTTGCATTTTTATAAAACCATAAAACTGGCTGCACTCTTAAAAATAAAGGTTCTTTATTGGTATTTATGGTTCCATGAAAAACCTTTAACATCAATGGAACCACTAAAGGTTCTTTGAAGTGGAAAAAAGTTCTTCAGATGATTAAAATGTTAAAATAACTTTTCACTGAAACGTTCTTTGTGAAACCAAAAATAGTTGTTCTACACTTTCAAAAATAAAGGTTCTTTATTGGTATTGATGGTTCCATGAAGAAACTTTAACATTTGTGGAACCACTAAAGAATCGTTATAGTGAAAAAAAGGTTCTTCAGATTATTAAAATGTAAGAAGAAAGAAAAAATTATTATTTTAAGAACTGTTTATTGAAAGCTTCTTAGGAGAACCAAAAATGGTTCTTCTAGACACTTAAAAATAAAGGTTCTTCTTTGGTGTCTTTGACATCTATAGAACCTTTCCATTGTGCAAAAGGTTCTTTGTAGTGAAAAAAGGTTTTTTAGATTATTAAAATGTTCTTCACACTAAGAAAAAATGGTTCTTTTAAGAACTGACCATTCAAATGTTCTTTGGGGAACCAAAAACAGTGGTTATACAGTCTTAAAAATAAAGGTTCTTCATTGGTGTCTTTGTTCCATGACGAACCTTTAACTTTTATATTATCTTTCCATTGTGCAAAAGGTTCTTTATAGTGGAAAAAGGTTCTTTAGATTATTAAAATATTCTTCAAACCAAGAACATATTGTTTCTTTGAAGAACTGGTCACTGAAAGGTTCTTTGGGGAACCAAAAATGGTTCTTCTACACTCTTAAAAACAAAGGTTTTTCATTATTGGCATTCATGGTTCCGTGAAGAACCTTTAACACCCATGGAATGAACAAAAGGTTCTTTGAAGTGGAAAAAAAGGTTATTAAGATCATTAAAATGCAAGAAATGGTTATTTTAATAACTGTTCACTGAAATGTTCTTTGTGGAACCAAAATTGGTTGTTCTACACTTACACGTTCCATGAAGAAACTTTAACATCTATGGAACCACTTAAGAATCTTTACAGTGGAAAAAAAGTTTCTTCAGAATATTAAAATCTAAGAAGAAAGAAGAAATTGTTATTTCAAGAACTGTTAAATGAAAGGTTCTTTGGAGAACCAAAAATGGTTATTCTAGACACTTAAAAATAAAGGTTCTTAATTGGTGTCTTGGTTCCATGAAGAACCTTTAACATCTATAGAATATTTCAATTGTGTAAAAGGTTCTTTGTAGTGAAAAAAGGTTTTGTAGGTGTTTAAAATGTTTTTCGCACAAAGAAAAAATGGTTCTTTTAAAAACTGATCACTGAAAGCTACTTTGGGAAACCAAAAACAGTGGTTCTTCTATGGCATAACTGTGAAAATCCCCTTTTGAAACCTTTATTTTTAAGAGTGTTGTGAAAAAAGGTCCTTCAGATTATTAAAATTTTCTTCACAATAAGAAAAATGGGTATTTTAAGAACTGACCTCTGAAAGGTTCTTTGGGGAATCAAAAACAGTGGTTCACAGTCTTAAAAATAAAGGTTCTTCAATGGCGTCTTGGTTCCATGAAGAACCTTTGACATCTACAGAATCTTTCCATTGTGCAAAAGGTTCTTTAGATTATTCAAAAGTTGTTTCTTTGAAGAACTGATCACTGAAAGCTTGCAGTCTAGTCTACGAAGTGGCAGATTAGTTGCCTCAGACTGACTTTTTGACCCCAGCGTCTGGGAATTGCGTCCTCCGATGGTAGTGGGAGGCAAAAGCATACACTTCTGAAAACCAGCAATCTGATCAGACGGTGTCTGTGATGTCTGAGTCAATGGAGTAACGTGACTCCACCCCTCCTCGTCTGGAGTTCCTTGAACTTAAACATGGCTCAGTCTGGTTCAGACAAGGGTCTGTCTGGGATGATGTCTATTAAGAGGCTCTCGAGGGCGTTTCTCCCCTCGTGCATCCTATGTGGTGCTGTCATGCTGAAGCAAGACTCTGGGAAACCCAAGACGGTTCCCAGGGGCCTCACGTGTTCTTTGGTTCTCAGAGCTGCACGCAGAGATATGAATATGCATGCTTTGATAAATGGAGTCTGACTGTGTTGTGATTGTGCATTAGCTGTTCTGCTTTATGTCCTGGAAAGTTAGTATGTAGCGGCCCCATTGACCATTCTCAGGACCCCGATTTAGATGCAAGAGACGGTCTGGGGCCCTCGTTGTGGAAGATATTGTCTTTTTACCTGGGAGGTTTATGTTTTTGTTGGTTTAGGTTGCCAACACTATTAAAAATAAAGGTTCTTTATTGGCATCTATGGTTAGAACCTTAAATACCCATGGACCCTTTCCTTAGCACAAAAGTTTCTTTATTGATAAAAAAGGTTTTTTAGATTATTAAAATGTTCTTCACACTAAGAAAAAATGGTTCTTTTAAGAACTGACCATTCAAATGTTCTTTGGGGAACCAAAAACAGTGGTTATACAGTCTTAAAAATAAAGGTTCTTCATTGGTGTCTTTGTTCCATGACGAACCTTTAACTTTTATATTATCTTTCCATTGTGCAAAAGGTTCTTTATAGTGGAAAAAGGTTCTTTAGATTATTAAAATATTCTTCAAACCAAGAACATATTGTTTCTTTGAAGAACTGGTCACTGAAAGGTTCTTTGGGGAACCAAAAATGGTTCTTCTACACTCTTAAAAACAAAGGTTTTTCATTATTGGCATTCATGGTTCCGTGAAGAACCTTTAACACCCATGGAATGAACAAAAGGTTCTTTGAAGTGGAAAAAAAGGTTATTAAGATCATTAAAATGCAAGAAATGGTTATTTTAATAACTGTTCACTGAAATGTTCTTTGTGGAACCAAAATTGGTTGTTCTACACTTACACGTTCCATGAAGAAACTTTAACATCTATGGAACCACTTAAGAATCTTTACAGTGGAAAAAAAGTTTCTTCAGAATATTAAAATCTAAGAAGAAAGAAGAAATTGTTATTTCAAGAACTGTTAAATGAAAGGTTCTTTGGAGAACCAAAAATGGTTATTCTAGACACTTAAAAATAAAGGTTCTTAATTGGTGTCTTGGTTCCATGAAGAACCTTTAACATCTATAGAATATTTCAATTGTGTAAAAGGTTCTTTGTAGTGAAAAAAGGTTTTGTAGGTGTTTAAAATGTTTTTCGCACAAAGAAAAAATGGTTCTTTTAAAAACTGATCACTGAAAGCTACTTTGGGGAACCAAAAACAGTGGTTCTTCTATGGCATAACTGTGAAAATCCCCTTTTGAAACCTTTATTTTTAAGAGTGTTGTGAAAAAAGGTCCTTCAGATTATAAAAATTTTCTTCACAATAAGAAAAATGGGTATTTTAAGAACTGACCTCTGAAAGGTTCTTTGGGGAATCAAAAACAGTGGTTCACAGTCTTAAAAATAAAGGTTCTTCAATGGCGTCTTGGTTCCATGAAGAACCTTTGACATCTACAGAATCTTTCCATTGTGCAAAAGGTTCTTTAGATTATTCAAAAGTTGTTTCTTTGAAGAACTGATCACTGAAAGCTACTTTGGGGAGCCAAAATGGTTCTTCTATGGCATAATTGTGAAAATCCCCTTTTAAAACCTTTATTTTTAAGAGTGTAGTGAAAAAAGGTCCTTCAGATTATTAAAATGTTGTTTCTTTGAATAACTGATCACTGAAAGCTACTTTGGGGGACCAAAAATGGTTCTTCTATATTCTTAAAAACAATAAGTTTCATCATTATTGGCATTCATGGTTCCGCGAAGAACCTTTAACATCCATGGAACGGACAAAAGGTTCTTTGAAGTGGGAAAAAAGGTTCTTTAGATCATTAAACTGTTCTTCACACCAAGAAAATAATGGTTCTTTTAGGAACTGATAACAGAAAGGTTCTTTGGGAAACCAAAAATTTTTATTTTATGGCATTACTGCAAAAACGTGCTTTTTACAAAAACTTTATTTTTAAGAGTGTATAGTGGAAAAGGGTTTTTTAGATTATTAAAAGGTTCTTCACACTTAGACAAAATGGTTATTTTAAGAACTGACCACTGAAAGGTTCTTTGGGGAACCAAAAATGGTTTTTCTATGGCATTCGCTGCAAAAAAACCCACCTTTATTTTTTCAGATGTAGCCAGTTTTATGGCTTTATAGAAAAGCAATGCCATATAATGATCGTGGAAGCAAAATAGCTGAAGTTTACACTATTTTCAAAAAGATAAGATTTGCATCAATATCAATGAAACATGATGATTATTTAGGGGTTTTGTGACTAGATATCCAATGCTATTTAGAGGATCGCTCCGTTCAACCTGTTTTATAGCCTAACAAGTCTTGTCATGTTTGCAGAAACGCCTCTAACGTTTGTTGGCTTCAGACCGCAGCAAACACCTGCACACTTTCCCAGGTAAGACACAAACAATCAAACATAATTTTTAAGCTTTACACTGGGGGAAAACAAATTGGTGCAGAAACAACTTTCACTCAAAATTTTCTAGTAGGTTTCACAAATAACTGAAGAATTTTTAAGTAGAAAGGCTGAATTCCAATATTACTAAATTGTTTTGATTATGACTGATTCTTAATTGAGGGATTTGTTGGGGAAGAGTGTTTTTTCCCCAGGAAATAAAAGTTGTTTTTTTTTTCTTTAAAAATTAAGTTGTTTTGGTGATTCATTAGTTTAAATCATGCATTTCCTTTAAAACAATCCACTTCTATCCTCCCTCCCTCTCGTTGCATGTTTGTAGAGGAATGCCGTTATGCGCTCGCCATCTCCCGCTGCTACTAAAGTGCCGATAAAACCTTTATTGGCCAACAAAACATGTTTTCTGTAGTGCCTTCCAAATTTAAAGAGTGAGTGTTGCGAGTCACGAAAACTGATCTAATGAACTGTAAACCACGAAACAGAATCCCGACGTCCTCGCCGATGCCAAAGAGCTTCCTACGTACATTATCACAACAAATGGGACTAATTACTCTGTATACCAAACTAATTTAGCCATATTCATACTTTAATGAGAGTGCTTTATGAGAACATGCTCGGAGAATGCAGGTCACTGGTTACGCTGGAATCCAGAATCGAATTGTGCAATTAAAATTCCGTTCTCACGGAAGAATCAAAAGTCATTTGCTGTAAGACGAAACATGTCAGTGGCTGTAAAGATGTTGCAATATCAACTGTTAATCTGTAACCATCTGAAAGAAAACTTAATCTTAATCTAATTTTAGTCAAATACTGGTTACAATCAACAGTTTGAGATTGCTACAGTACATATGCTGGATCAGACAAAGAGTCTTCTGCTCAACAAGGCTGCATTTATTTAATCAAAAATACAGTAAAAATTGTGAAAAATGATTATGATTTAAAATATCTGTTTTCTATGTGAGTATCTGTTAAGCTGTAATGTATTTCTGTGATGCGCAGCTGTATTTTCAGCATCATTCCTCCAGTCTTCAGTGTCACATGATCTTCAGAAATCAGTATAATATGCTGATCTGCTGCTCGAGAAACATTTCTGATTATTATCAATGATGAAAACATTATTTTTGTGGAAACTGTGATACATTTTATTTTTCAGGATTCACAGATGAATAGAAAGTTCAAAAGAACATCATTTATTTGAAAAAGAAATATTTTGTAACATTGTAAATGTCTTTGATCAATCACTTTTGGTCAATTTAATGTGTCCTTGATGAATAAAAGTATTAATTTAAATTTTTTTATTTTTTGACACAAAACTCCAAATGTATGATATATAGGCTAATAAATCAATAAGGCTTAAAGCATTTAAGATTTTTTTTTTCAATATTTCAATATTATATATATATATAAAAATTCTTTAACATCAATTAAAATTATTTGAAATTTAAAAATCTAACAAATATTTAATGTATATAATAAAAACAATTATTAGTCTATATATATAATAAATCTACACTATATCTATATCTATATATATATATATATATATATATATATATATATATATATATATATATATATATATATACACACATAGTTAATTAACCGGTAAGGCTTATAGCAATTAAGAAAAACATTTTACTGTCACTTTTGATCAATTTAATGTGTCCTTGCTGAACATAAAGTATTAATTTCTTTCCAAAAAGAAAAGAAAAAAAAGCCAAACACCAAATTTATGTATAGGCTAATAAAATAAGGCAAAAAAAATGACATGGCAAACTTTTAGAACGATTTATTTTTTGTCGGGTAATTATTACAATGATTATTGTCAGGTTTGATGACTTATTCCTCTAATAATCTGTTCCAGAACCAGGCTTTCTGCCACCAGCTGATGCTCATCACATGCTGTCACACTGCTGAAGTCTGAAGATGCCCTTGAGGACGTTGTTCCTCCGCAAGCCCGCGTCTGGACACTGGCAGAGGAGGCTATCGTACCGAAAGGAGGTTTTGTCGGTCAACATGATCAGCCTTCCTCTGGGTGATTTCCGGCATCTCTCTCACATCGGTGTAGACGGACACACGGACAGTTTTGGAGACCTGTCGTTCCTGAAGGAGGGCCACAGTCTCCTGCTGCAGAGCTCCAAGAGCGAGCAGAACCTGTTCCTCCCGCCGCCGCCCAAGCCGCCTCGAGTCAACCTGGACGAAGCGGGCCGGTGCAGCCCGGTCTGGGAGCACACCCCGGCCCATCAGAGGCAGAAGTGCAGCTCGCTTCCCCTCCTGGACACGGAGGAAGACGAGGACACGTGTTCACACACAGAGCCGACCGGCATCAGCTGGAGTCCTGCACGTGGCAGCCTGAGCTCCGGACGGGATTCGACCCAAACCAACCCAGAGGACATGCAGCCGGACCAAACGGACACAGCGTTCACGTTCAGTCTGGACCTGGGACCCTCCATACTGGACTCCGTGCTGCAGGTGATGGATAAAGTCCATCAATAGAGTCGTGAACTGGAAATAGGGCTGTGCAATATAGCCAAAAAATCATATCTCTGTGTTTTTTGGCTGAATTGCGATATGCGGTATACCAGACAGAGTAAGATTGTTAATGTCTTTTAAAGAAGTCTCTTCTGCTCACCAAGCTTAAATTTATTTGATCCGAAATACAGCAAAAGCAGTAATATTCTGAAATATTTTTACTATTTAAAATAACTGTTTTCTATTTGAATATATATTTAAACTGTAATGTATTTCTGTGATGTGCAGCTGTATTTTCAGCATCATTACTCCAGTCTTCAGTGTCACATGATCTTCAGAAATCAGTATAATATGCTGCTCAAAAACATTTATTATTATTATTATTATTATTATTATTATCAATATTTAAAACAGTTGAGTACATTTTTTCAAGTTTCTTTGATGAATAGAAAAATCAAAGATCATGTGACACTGAAGACTGGAGTAATGATGCTGAAAATACAGCTGCACATCACAGAAATACATTACACTTTAACACATACTCACATAGAAAGCAGATATTTTAAATAGTAAAAATATTTCACAATTGTACTGCTCTTGCTGTAGTTCTGCTCAGATAAATGCAGGCTCGGTGAGCAGAAGACACTTCTTTAAAACACATTAAAAATCTTACTGTTCAAAAATGTTTGACTGGTCGTGTATCTTAGTATTTTGTACATTTTTCTATTTGGATTATTGTTTTTTGTTCTTCATCCTGCCTGATATTGTCTAACGAAACAATATGTACATATTAAAGGCAATGAAAACAAATATAGTGAAAGTAACCGCAGCAGCTTCAGCTATTTTTCAGATGCACTCGTATCAAACTGCTGCATATCGATATAAACTGCCTCATTCCATATCGTTTATGAAAATATATATCGATACACCGCCAAGCCCTGACTGGAAACTCGCTGTGTTTCTGATCAAACATCTGAACTCTGGACAATAATAACAAAACCCAACACATTGCTCAACCAGACATTTCTTCCAGGAAAAGCAGAGCGTTTCAGACCAAATCCAACACCCTTTTTTAAGAAATACCCCCTTCGAATGAAGTCTGTTATATAACGCTGTGTCCACCATCAGAAATAATATCTCAAGCAGCGTTAGTCAATGATTGCTGAAGTCTAGTTAATCATGGATCAGCTTTTATTTGGCCTCTTCAAGCTGTGATTTCCTTATCTGCTTTCTGAGCTTCAGACCGTTGCGTTTACAGACTAAATGAACAGCCGGAGCTGCATGTTTGCACTGTATGATCTATTATATCAGGCTATATATTTCTATAAGGCATACCTGTAAACTCAATTCAGTGACAAGATTAACTATAAATTTTATTTTACACCTCACCACTAGATCTACAAGTGGAAGGAAGCAACAGTAATTCCTGAATAAAATCATGTTTTGATGATAATGTATGTATTTATATACAGTATGTACATGTTATGCATATTATGTTTATGTAAATATGCATATTAAAAAATATATATTTTCTTTTTAATATGCAGTGATCATATAAACACAATTAGGCACTGGATTGCTTAAATAAAGTGCAACAAAACACTAATCACACCTGCTAGTTTATATATAATACAGTATATATATATATATATATATAGTAATTCCCCCACATAGAATGCAATAAAAACATTTAATTTATCTTATTTAAGAAAAAAATGTTTTAATATTTACAATATATTTTCAATAAAATAACAGCCACTGAGATTTTTTTTTTTATGTATTTGGAATTAAAAAAAATTGTTATTATTTAAAAAAAAAATTCATTTTATATTTATAAAATTATTTATTATTTGTATTTATTATATATTATATTATTTAAAGATTATTATTGTAATAATATAATATAACTACTACTAATAACAAAAATATTAATACTATAATATATACCAATAATAAACTAATAATATAATAAAATTGCAAAACTATTATTAGCATATATACATATACAGTATACTGTATATAACATTAAAATTGTATTATTATTATTATTATATACTAATGATACTACTAATGATAAACTAATAATATAATAAAAACATAATAAAACTATTATTAGCATATATATATATATAAAACACTAATAAATCAATAAGACTTATAGCAATTAAGAAAAAAATACAATATTTACAATCTCTCCTTAACAGCAATTAAGAAAAATGTATATTCCAAATTAAAAGATATTTTAAAATATTACAAAAATGTTACATTAAAAAAATTCAATAAATAAATAAATATATATATATATATAGCAATTAAGAAAAAATACCTTACAATATTTAGTCTCTCTTTAA